TATCAACCATATCTGTTTTCCACATTACCAGATAAGTTTTTCGATAGATAGAGGTTTATTAGGATATTAAGATTAATTGGAGTGATGGAGTTACATAAATGTGTTTAAGGGAAATATGGTGTTGACCGGTGGAGTTGACAGAAATGTGGTGCTTTTCGATAACGATACGGAGACGATACAAAATACATTCAAAGGTCATCAGAAGAAGATTTCAGCTGTCATTCTACATCCTGTCAATCAAGTTTGTCTGTCGGCTTCGAATGATTCTCAGGTGCTTTTTAACACATTAAGCGATATCTTTCATTCATTTGTCTTAGATATTTAATAAGGATTTTATCGAATTGTAGGTTCGAGTATGGTCATCCACCGATAAAGATTGCAAGCACATAATCAGAGCGCATTCAGCACCCGTCACTGACATCTCACTGCATGCAACTGGTGATTATGTGCTATCTGTATCGAGTGATTCGCATTGGGCTTTGTCGGATATACAAACTGGTAAAACACTTTGCAAGGTCAGTATACAAATGTGGCTGTTGGCAATATTTTCTTTGGAACATTTCCGTAATTGTTCGTGAAACAGTTTGCACATGAGTCATCCTTCTGAACTGTGTCGTTGTATTGCAGGTGAAGTCCGAAGAGAAGGAAGGCGTAGCAATATGTTGTGGTCAGTTTCATCCAGATGGTCTTATCTTCGGTACAGGAACTGCGGATTCGATTGTTAAAATTTGGGATCTCAAAGAGCAAACGAATGTTGCTAATTTCCCTGGTCATCAGGGTAAGAGTTTGTCCCAGATTCATTGCCTTGTTATCACATCGACCGAATCTGTCGATTCCTTTGATGCATTTATTTGAACTTCGAGAGGATTTATTCAGAAAAAAGTTTCAATAGCAAGTGCGGGTAATGTTCTCAGTTGTCATCTGCAACTTCCAGTAATGTGTTTGCGATTGTTCTCTTTAACGAGATTATCTGATCAACGGGGAGAGTGATCAACAATTGAATGTATAGAAAGGATTGTTTTGAGGTGCCGTGAAGGCGATCGCATTCTCGGAGAATGGCTATTATCTGGCGACGGGTGCCGAAGATGGTGAGGTGAAGTTATGGGATCTACGTAAATTGAAAAGCTTCAAAACGATGAGTATCAACGAGGGAAAACACACGGTATCGTTTCTTAATGTAATTAATGANTAATATTTGAAATAGTTTCCATTAGTTAATGAACAGCTTACATGATTCTTCAGTTGAGGTTGTATTTCCGTGAATGCAAATGATAGTTATGAATGTGTGTTCATGTTACAATTGTGATTGATGGTCGTTTTCAGTTGTGGGGTATATGTTTCGATCAGTCGGGAACTTATTTGGCTGTTGCTGGTGCAGATGTTCAAGTGATTCATGTCAAACCGTGGAGTGTATTAACAACTTTGACTAATCACAAAGATGCTGTCACCAGTGTTCGATTCGGACCAAATGCACACAGTCTCTTCTCAACGAGTATGGATCGTTCGTTGCGCGTCTATTCGTATGCTCCATCTCAATAACTTCCTTCTTATTTATTTAATCGGCATCTTATTATCGTTGCATTGATTTATTGTAAGACATGAGAGATTCTTAAATCACCTTTATGACTGATCAACATTTTCGTTACATCCAGCAACCACTCCGTTCCCTATAAATTTTATCATTTTCATCGTTATTTGTCGTTTCGAGGAAGAAATTACTTTTTCATTAAGCGAATTTATTTTTTGATTGTTCTTTTGAATTTACAGTATTAGCTTTACCCAGATGTTTGAATTTGGTTTTAAACTTTTATTTATGGCGAATGTTTTCGATTGATCTGTCGCGCAATATTTGCACGAAAATTTCGGTAGAATGACAGCATTGAATAAACGCATCGGTCAGTTATTTATTTTTTGGTCGCAAATGGCAAGCGAAGTGTTGTGCTTGGTAATTACTGCTCGTATCTCTTCGTTGAACCTGAGATACGTTCGCGATTGTGAGAACGTTCACTGAATTTTGCGATTTGAAAAAAATCTCTCTCAGTGATATTATCTGAAAGGGATGTTATATAGTTTTTAAATGTTNTTTTTTTGAAACAGATGTCAGAATTCCGTTTCATTTATACATGTTATCAAGTTATCAACGCGTTTATCAACTAGCATTCACTAATTATAAAGTCACTCGGGTGTCTTCAGCACCTCATTATTTGAAGATCTGCACTGATTGCTTTAACGTAGTAAAAAGGATTCAGTTGTAACCATCAGAAAAATACATCTATCAGAGAGATGATAAACGAGTGACTTTCATCCTTCCAAGAAAATTCCATCCGTTTCAATTCCGAATGCATCTGATCTATTTTTCCGTAGTATTGCGGTGGTCAGGTGGCTGTCATTGAGTTTTCGAAAGCATTACAGTGGCGGGGAAATGGAATGAAGAAATGGCATCGATGGGAGATTGTTATTGAAAATATCTGATTGGTAGAAATTGCGGTTAAACGTTGCAAAATCTTGAATGAATTGTTGCTGAGTGAACGTTGCTGAATGTTGAATTGTATTGAATTCATTATTGATGATTACATTGTTGTTGTTGTTGTTATGAGGAATGTTGCATGGCTGGTGTTTGTTACTTGTCTGTTTGTGTGTCGTTATAACTGTTTCGTTATGAGCATAAAAATATCATTTTTGATTCGATTTGTCGTTGAGAAGAATGAGAAAGTCGCATTTCTTCGAGTCATCACTATTGATTCGTATTGCTGTCGTTTGATGTTTGATGATTTTGATCTCGAACCATCTACACTTTTGCGATTTTGTTAACTCTTTCAGTTGGACCTAACTAACTCTAAATTTAACTGATTCAAGGTTTCTATTCAAGTTTTGTGTCGCTCGTCAGAATTTCTGCGTGTGAGCTAAATTCCCATCGAAATTATTACTGTTATAAATCGTTGAATGAGACAACTGTACCAAAGTTGACCTCAATTTTTAGTACAAAATTCGATTTCGTTCAATAGCAAATATCACGGAAGCAGGTGCATTGGTGGGTATGAGCAGAATACGTCTATGATCGGTAAGCAGATTATCTGATCGACCTTCAACCCATTTTAAATTCCATATGGATTCTGGAAGTCCCTCTCTAGCAGTTAAACGCAGACGGTTAAATAGTCCGCTGGAAGACCACAAGGAAGTGTTCATCAACGAAGAACGGTCGTCGAACGGGTGGTTCGGTTCGTTTTCAATTCTCGTTTTGTGTTTGTTTGATATTGTTGGTTCATTTGGTGCGTTGTTTTCTGTTGTATCGATGACGAATAACAGTAACTATATTTAAGGTCCATTTTCGTCGTTGGTCTCAAAATTGAGTAATGCTATATTTCATCGAGAGCCGCTGATGTCAACGAACGCGTCGTCGAGGCATCTTTCGTCCTCGTCATCTTCATCGCATTCCTCATCTTCGCATCATCCAACTGAAGAAAATTGTCGACGCAAAGCAGCAAACACCGTTGAAAGTAGTCGAAATGATGATTCGATGCTCAATCCCTGTCGACTTCCAAGCAGTTCTAATCAAAATACACATTATCGTAAGCACAACAGTAGTATTGTTGCAAGAAAAGTTCATCCAGGTTGGATTTCCTTTATTCTTTTATTTCATACATCGCATTTTCGCTTATGCTTATTTATAGTACTTCATCGTTTCGATTTATATATTCTGATCAATTTCGCTGTTTTTGTATATATCGAAGTTCATTTCTGCTCAGTAACTTCTCNATATTCTTTAGTGTTTGTTCATCTTAGGCGAAGTTCGTGACTCATCTTATATCATCTAAACGTGAAAATTTTGCTGGATTATTCGAGTGTTATTGGTGGTCGTTTATTTTTAATCTCATGATTTTTTTAAGTCAATTAAATGGTTATTCAATTTAGATATATTAACCGACGATGATGACGAAGCAGATGGTGATGAAGTGGTTGATGTGACCCCGAATTCTGCAGATAATGCCATTTTCAAAACACCGCCCTCATTCATCAGGCGCAGTCCATCGTGGCGAAGATCGCAAAAAAATGGTTTCATTTTCAATCTGATTCTACAATAGTTCGATTTGTTTGATTAATTTCAATTAAGTTTATGCTATTTGTTTGAAAATTCGTCTACCCTTGTTTTTTTTTGCATCATTGCATTCCATTCAATTGCAGAATATTGAATGAATGCAATGTGAAAATTTCGCAATAAGTTTTCATATTGCATTCAGTGACTATTCTGCTATCAGCCAGTTGGAAGGAATGAGCTTTATAACGCGGCTTTCGGTCATCGTAAATGAGCCATTGATTTCGTCATTTTCTGTATAACAAGGAAGAAGTTATCGCTATAAATTTCCCGAAAACTCTCTATGTAAATGATCACTTTCAGAGGATGACGACGTCCAAATAATTGATCGGAATGGTAGCGCTGTTCTTTCGGAGAGTCATCTTCATCAAGACAGTTCATTTGGAGCGCCCGTTGAAGCGAATATAAATTTCGAAAAAGAAAACACACCACTCGAAGGTGCTCCATATTTCTGCATTCCCCTTTATTATTCCTTCAGTGACCGATAGTGCTGCAAACCTTTCGCCAGATTATCGCTTCTGATTTCATTTGAGGAATGCTTAGAGCCAAAAATAAGGATAATGTTGACAATAATGATATTAGTATTTGTNTTGTTCTGTTTTTATTCTTCTCGCCGATTCCATTTTATAATTGGATTCAGAATCGGAAGCGTCAATTGATTGAAATTTCATTGATTGGCCTTTCTGCGATCAACTACTTGAATAAAGTTTTAGTATCAGCAACATCGAGTATCTCATACGAAAACGAGACATTGATTGTTTCATCGTCACCTTCCCCTCTGCCTGAGCATAGTGCCAGTCGTACCGTATCACCCCTTTATTTACGTCCTGGTTAGAAATGTCTTTTTACGTAAACATTTCTGCTTCATTATCTCATCGTTTTCGATCTTTCTAAATAGTTCTCATTTGTGTTTGCCTATTTTTTTCTTGTTCATTCGTTTTGCAACTATTTATTCAAGGAACGCAGAGAATAAATGAATCTATTTCGTTTGTATAAATTGGCGTTCTTGTTTCTCTTGTTCGAAGTAATTGAATATATGGCTCAGGTTCTTTGCATAACAAAGTATGATTTCTGCATGAACTTTTGAAATTATTTGCAGCCAGTTATTTAAAATTGAAGTCTTATTCTTTGAAGGTTCAACCAATCGAATTGATAAATGGTCTCGACGAAATCGTTCACAACCTTGGTCAACTAGGTTGTTGTTTTATTTGGTTGTTTTCGATTTGAATTACCCAGAGTCATCGATTGTTTTCGATTTAAATTACCCAGAGTCATCGATTGTTTTCGATTTGAATTACCCAGAGTCATCGATTGTTTTCGATTTGAATTACCCAGAGTCATCGAAGTGGAATGAAGTAACCTGCACTTCGACAAATGATGTTTAAATGATTTCAAAGTGTAAATCAGATGGAGTCAAGAAGTTGTGCTGAAAATAGATATGTATATTCAATGCGAGTTGATGTTTACAGGCCTCGGGCAAAAACAAAGCAGTCGTCACATTCACTATATGCTAATTGGGAATCGCCAGTTAATCGAATCAGAAAACAACTTGGCATTGGTGCATTTAGCGGTAGTAACGGCGGTGCATCTGAAAATGTTGGTTTTTGTAATTGTGATTTCAATTATTTGTCATCATTGTTACTATTCAATTAGGTCATTCTTTTATTTATCTTATCGATGTGTTTTGCAGGTGATCAACATGGAGGAGAAGGAACGATTTCGGAGACTGAACAATCTTCTTGAAGCGGGCGGTGCCAATTTTGTTCCATTCATACAATCCCCTTATGTGAGGTAATCTTTCATTATTTGTTATGAGTTTGTTTTATCGCTGATATAGATCCAGATGATATCTTCATTTGAACGAAGACGGTGAGTAGATTTTAGCTTTTATTGAGCCATTTTCATCTTTACTTCATTTTAACTGGACTTTGTTCTCCGTTTCGACAAATTCTTGCTAAGTGCTTTTATATCCGTTGCAGTTATGTCGAGACTAGAATGCATCTTGTAAGGGTTTTGTTTTTGTTGAATGCTCGGTCCAATTTAGTTTTACCTCATTCCAGAGGTGCAATAAATACATAAATACCTCATCATAACGTTGTAGAAGTTCCATTCGATCGAATCTGGTTGGTGATAGTGTGGATGTATTGCAACGTGGGAGAGCTGCATTGAATGCTTTATTGAACTCAACAACAACTAACAGTGAACACAATGCGATCGCCAAGGCAAAAAATCGTTTGAGCAGTTCAAAACATTCATCATCATCGCCTATTTCGGAAAGGTTATTGAACCGAAAATTATTTCCTGAAACGTTTTGTCGTTTGTTATTGGATTTGTTATTATCAAACATATTGTTAGTAAATTTGGTACTCCTAAATCAGCAATTTGTTTTGTTATTTTGATTTGAAAGATGTATTTTAGCGATGAGTTATTCTGTAAAAAAGAAGTTTCGATACAAAATAAATCAAACAACTTATTGATGGTGTTAAACACTTACAATTGTTGAAATGAAGTATTTAAAAGGAAATAATATATCGCTGTTACCGTTTTATAGAAGTGAAGATGAATCGGAAGAAGTGCAGATAATTGAGAACGGAGGTGTTTCACACAAAAAGTCACTGGAAAGGATATCTTCTTCAGAGATCATTAAAGATGGTGGTTCTCAGCCAGTTCTCAATCGAAATCTCTCTTCACCAGACAGTCTTCTGCCGAGAAAGTCTTCAAGTGGTTCGAGTCGCAGTACTGATTTCAGCGATAGGTTATTACTGATAATTTGTTACTTTATTTTATTTTCTGTTACAGTAATTTTCGCACTGAATTGTTTTGTATCATTTGTTCACGTGAGTTTCGTGATTTCGAATTATTCCCATGAAAGAACAACAAATTTTTTTGCGTATAATTCTCTTCTATTCTCATTTAATTTGTCTTTAAGTTGTATACTGATGACTTTTAGTTATTTTGTTCGTATGATTGAGAATTCTTTTGTAATAACGGATTGGTGAGCAGAAATTGAATTGGCTTATGCAGAATGTTATTTGCATTATCAGATTGATGAAATGCAAAAAAAAATTCAGACGAACACCATCAGTGACGGTAATTTGGGACAAGCAACGTGATGAATCATTCAAAGCAAAATTAGCAGACAACGAATCTAAGAAAGAACTTTTCAAGCAACGCGAATTGTCATACGAACAGAATGTACAACACAGGAATCGTCGCGCGCAAGAAATCCTTCTCGAGAAGCAACTTTTGTTAGAATTTATTTTTGATTTGATTCTTTTTGTAATCGTTGGTTTGTTAATCAGAGACGAATCATTCATTTTGTCCAGTGATCATGTTGAAATATTCCGTTTTGAATTACAGTTATTTTTGTTGGTTATATTGCATTTTCGATTCAGAATCGAGTCGAGACGTGATGCAGAGACAACTTTAGAAGAAGAATTAGTCAAGAAACTTACTTTAACGGGTCATGTTTTTCGTAGTCGTGTTCGTAAGATTGTCACGGATGAATTCCCCAGTAAGCGTTTGGAATTTGTCATTTTTCCATTTTTGTTTACTCACGAATGATGTTCTAACAAATTTGCATTCTCACTTCAGCTGTACACATCCCGAATGGTGTGAGCATATTGAGTTAGGGAACCCGAAATTGAACATCAACGATGTGATTACTCATCCTAAAATTACATTCCAACATTCTTTGTTTTGGAATCTTTTGAAATTGAATTTATTTTCAAGTTCAGTTCTGCAATCATACAATAAGTATTTGAAGGATGATAATTCGTTTATTCTCTTGATTTCACGAATTTCAAATGTTCACCCTCTGTTTTCAAAAAACATTTGTGCATAGTACTCATAAAATTTAGAGCTAAGCGATGAAGCCGAGCAATTAATCCGTCGTGTATGGGATCCGTCTTTGCCTTTGGAAGAGAAAATGGTTTGTGAAATATCGAGAAGAGATTTACTGACTCTGAGAGGATTGGAATGGCTGAATGATGAGATTATTAATTTCTATATGAACCTCATTTGTGTGCGTTCACAGAATGACTCTTCATTGCCAAAGGTCTATTGCTTCTTTATTTCGTTTTATTGCACCGCTGCAAAGAACTTCGTATGCTTCGTTGAATTCACTTCATTTTCAAAAGAATGAAACTTATCATCGATTCGTATTACTTCAACCAATGTTTCAATTGTTTTTTAATGCTGCATAATGCGTGACATAATACACACTGCGTTCTGATATCAAAAGGGTTATATTTGCGTGATATCTACGGAATGTGGATGTCAAGCCATGGATAAAGTTAATTCATTGTTAACTTTTCGAGAAGAGCAGTTGAATTGATTGGTTGGTTGTTTGATGTGAAGTAGGATTAAAGATATGAGATGAAATCGGTTTATTGAAGAGAGACCAGTAGATTAGAGGCAGATTGATGAGACTAGTAATGGGGTTACGTTAATGTCCAATTAGTGATTAATGAAAGATTCATTTATAGGTGTTCGCATTCACGTCATTCTTTTATCCGTCCCTACTGAACAAAGGATATCAAGCTGTACGGAGGTGGACGCGCAAAGTGGATGTATTCTCGTTTGACATCCTCTTAATACCTGTTCATCTGGTTGCACATTGGTGTCTGGCGGTAGGTTTCCTCTTTGGAATCTTTACTCGTTTTTACGAATGGGTAAAAATTATTAACAAAGCAATCGATTACATCATTGTTATTAATGCATATCGAGCGATTGACGAACGAATTCATTGAAATCGTTGCAATATGTCATTCGAAATTTGAGGAAAACGTGAAGGTTTGGTGATGGATTTGTTCCGATATTTTAGCAAATTGAATAATTTAGGTGGTTGATTTCGTGAATAAACGGATTGATTATTTCGATTCGATGGGTGGTGAAAATCGACAGTGTTTGGCCGCAGTCGCGTAACTTATTTCTATTATTGCCTTTTTCTTTGTTAACTCAGTGGTATCAAATGCTTAGGCTCTTTGTGNTGGAATTTGAATCATTCATTATTGCTCAACTCTATTGATAGCATTCAATTTCAGAAAATATTTGGGTGAAGAAATGAATGACAAGAAGAAGAGTAGATTCGATTTAAATGGTTGGAAACTTGTCACTCGAGATGTATGTTTTCCTTTCATTGATGAAACTTTCGCGATAACTAATTTTGTAACGATTGAAAGATATCGTTGATATTTGAAATGATACGGTAAATTGTTCATTTCAGGATGTGCCGCAGCAAATGAATGGCAGTGACTGTGGTATGTTTGCGTGTAAATTTGCTGAATTCGCATCGAGACGTGCGCAAATATCGTTCTCTCAAGAGCATATGCCGTATTTTCGACGACGAATGGTTTACGAAATTTGTCGTCAAAAGTTGTTATAAACGACATTGATGTATTAATATTACTTATTATTTGGTTCATAAGAATGACAAATGAAAACATTTCACTTCCACCGTAGCCATTCAGATCCTTTCCGTGCTTTGATACTAAGGTAACAACCTCCATAAAAAGCTGTTTTATTACTGTTTTTATTTGTCATTCATCATGCGCTCTACTTGATACGGTTCATTGTTGAATATACTCTATTCGTTTTTTGTCATCTCATTAGGTTCACACGCCATAATGATATGGCAATTTGTCAGAATAAAGAACTAGGTAAAAGAGTGTAAAGAAGAGTATTTCTGTTCTAATGAATCTGAAATAAGCTGTTTTTTATTGGGTGATATAAAGGTTAGTTTGTAGCCGGGAGGTATGAGATTTGTGTGCGATGAGTTTTCTCGTAATGTTGTTTTTCACAATGTGTTTTCACGTTCTTCAAATTTGTCACTTAATTTCATGACTCCGAAGAATTTCTAAATGAATAGTCTTGAAGTGTCGGTGTCCGTTCGCATGANTTATGGTTTCTGTTTGCTTCCATTGGTATTTGTTGTAATAAGAAGTATTTCTGTCATCACAGATTGTTTTCATATTGTTCGATATTCGTTAACTTGTATCAGTTTCAAAATTTTTGAAGAATTCTATAATTGTATGATGATTAGGGGAGTGTATGCAGTGTACGTGAATTGCTTTGTTGATGAAATGCCGTAATGCATCGTAGGTTCTAACGAGCACGCCGTTTATTCCCCTGCATTCATATCATATCGAATTCATCAAATGATTTGCTATATATTTTACTCGATGATAATTATACTTCAGGAAGCGTTATTTTGTCAAATGTATTCTCAGTAATCTTTTGGGACATGTGTCTGTACACAAAACTTTCATCCTTTCCACACTTTATTTCTTCTTGCAATTTTATTGTTTTGTTGATCTCTTTTCGTTAAGCATCTTCAATTGAAGTGGCAGTTCGATTGTATGTTTTGTTGGTTTCTTTCCGTATTGCCTTATTGTCAATTGCATATTCTCGCTTTGGAAGGTAGAATTTTATGCATTAGGAAACACATTTTCAGTCGTAATCAATTCGGCGGAACTGATGAGTGTCGTGCATATATGATTGAATTTGAAATTATAGACTCATAGAAAAAGGCTATTGGATTCTTGTATTTGCCACTGAATTATAGTAGTGTTCTTCGGTGTATGTATTTGCTTTATAGTATCACAAGTGAGTTGTATTACTTGTTCATGTGCAGTCTTATTATTAATAGCTTATATATTTGATTATATATTTTTNAGTTCCAAAAATTGACTATTTTGAATCAATTGATTTCTCTGTGAACTGCTAATTTTCACTGTTATTCACTCAGTGTTTGCTTTTGCAATAATATACTTGATTTTGATTGTAACATACCACTGAAGGTAGTATATCTCGATCTTTTATGGCTTTTGAGTAGAGTTATATAAATGTGATTCGTAAGACGGATGACATCGTGAGCAAATATATTCAGTGTGAGGCATACGAGTGCTCGACGCGATTTACTTTCGAACTCGAGTTGAAGACAACTGATCTCGCTTCAGTCTTTGCTATTAAACCTTAAATTAGTTTTTGTAAAGATTTGTTTATGATTCAGTGAACATTTCTTAGAGAAGCTATATAATTGTTGAAATAGCGGTGACAGAAAAGCCGTCATGAAGATAAATTTGGATCATTGTAAGCATATAATGCATTCTGCAACATCAAGACATTTGGTCAATATGGCAACGTTATGAATCAATGATCAACGATCAATGATTTGGGTATGGAGTCATAAATGGAGCTGATACTGATCGTTGTGCATTTCATCATGTCATCGTTTTCGTTGAACCGTTTCGTTTGCTGAAATGATCTTTTATCACTTGTTTCGAACTTATTGCTGGAAAAAAATTCCGCTCAGCGTTTACCAATCGGTTACAAAATGTTACAAGATACCTACATGCTTATCGAAAAGTCACTGAGTATTTGATGAACAATTCATTTTTCGTTTCGTTCTTTTCAATTGATTTTCAAGAATTTCATCCTTCGAAAGAGGAAACAAACTTCAATGCGCAACAAAATCTTTTTAACGGGTCTTTTCTCGGTGCTTTCATGAAATTACGTCTCCAAGATTGTTTCAAGAGCATTTGTCGTGTTCATTGTTAGTGAATGTTTGATGTGTTTATTTGTTGGTGAAATGGAAATTGAAAGGAGCTTCGAAGTTGGTAAAATTTGAAAAAGTTTGCTCAAGAAATACTTTGAATTCATCAAATTCATTCATTATTTCCCAACCGCTTGCGGTGCATTCATTTTGCCCGTTTCTAATCTGCTTCAATGATCGTTTTGATTCGTTGGACGATCATCCGTTATACAGCCATTATTGATGCTTTATTCAGTATATCAATTTCTTGCTCCAAAACAAGTATGTTTACAGTTGTTCTCATGGAAACGAACTCTCTGGCTGCACGTTTCCGGAATTATTATTCTGAACTGTAAAACAACACAATACTCTCAATCGTTTCAAAAAAGGAAAATGACTAAATTTTTTAACTGCTCGTGCGATTGATTCTTCGTGAGAGATATTTGTGCATTTATTTCTGTTTGCTTTTAGTTCAAAGCACCACTTCATGGTACTCCTTTCTTTTGAAAAGCAAACCTTACGGTGGCATTCTGTTGAAATGAAAACGAGAATTTTGTATCAAGAGAAGAAATGTAATATGACAGCATTTCTAAGTGTTTCCAAAAAATAGTTTGTGTTTATCATTTGTTTGGTATTAGAAGATCGTTGGTGCTATCAGTGATGTTTGTTTTTATGATAACATTCACCTCATGAGATACATTCTTGTCGATGAACTGGTTAACCCTAAACGTATATGTATAGCTCTGAGGCAAATATGGTTGTTATTGTCACTCACTTTTGTTATCAGTATTGCTATCGTCACTCAGTAAATAGGGTGATAGTATCACATGTTAGATGATCTTATAAAATATCATTGGTATCATTACTAGGAGATCGATTCTAGAAAGTGATTATCTTTTAATTCTCAGCATTTCTCTCTAATTCTCAAAGTTTTTCCCTCAATGTATTTGCCAGAAACACGTCATTAATTTTGGGTTTTATATTATGATTGCATTCTGCGGAAGTTCTATTATTCGCATCGTTTTTTAAATTACGATTACTGAAAATTATTTCTCGAAACAATTTCTTCATGTTTACTTGTTCCCATTGGAAATTGTCGCGAAGATAAGATGTTTTGTATTTTGTCTTGAAAAATGTTTGACGGTCATTTATTTAAACGTATTCAAAGCACCATAAGTTGGCCGAAAATTGTCCGATGGTTTCTCCTACATAATAAATCTAGACAATAATGGTTTGCAAAATATGATGAGTTGAAACTTTGTTCATTGGAAATAATTGCGAAATTTTGTCGATCAAACATCGAAGTTGTTTTGAGAATTTTTTGTGATGGAATTTGTTTGAAACTATCGACGATGAAATTTTCTGTATTTTGATCTCGAAACGTCATTTCTGAAAAACGACAATGTCTGCATGCGATGAACAAGAGTGAACAACTTCGCTATCAGATTTTTGATCTCAAAACTATTGGGTTGGAACATAAATGATGTCGGTGATGAGTGTACGTCCATGCAGATTTTTATGGCAGTGGACGGGGCTTTTGATTGATAGATCACTAATGCCCGTCCACCGCCATACAATGCTACACGCATTCCTTTTGCAGCGACGTCATTACAGTTCCAACCCATTACAATCTTTGGTTCTTCTTAAGTCGAAAACATTTACAATGTCTTCGTTATCATCGATTGCCGATAATAATCTCAGTCTTAAGTTACTTCCCGAGTTCCATACCCTTTTCCGAGTACGATAATCAGGATGGAAGTCACTGAAGATTCTTTAAAGTCTTCCACGCCTCATCTTTCAAAAGATTTACGCAACAAGGTGGGCGTTATTTTTCGATCTCTTCATATAATTGCCGTTTTCTCCTACATCGCTACAAATGTTTGGAAGCTGGAGATATTTTTACCAGATCGATTATATTTTGTTGAATATTCCCATAGTTCATTGAATAGAGGGTAATACTCAATTGATAATACTCAATTCATAATAATTCGAATACTTCCTAGTGGCACTTCTACTGGACCAGTTCACGTATGATTCACTGAACACGATTACAGTATGTATCTGAAAGTGATTTTTGAATTGGCTTTAGATGGAACAAATCGAGCTCGAGGCTAAATATGTCGTCCATAATCACCTCAAGGATGGCCTTATTGATCTCATTGCTGGAACGATTGGTATGTTTTGAGGTTTGAAATATGTTTGATCATTAGAAGTGGTTGATTAGATTCACTCCTCTTTATCAACCAATCCAAGCGTTATAATATTTGAGGAGGTATAGCGAATGTATATAGCGCACAGCCATTGGATACGGTTAAAGTCAAAATGCAAACGTTTCCGACTCTTTATAAAAGTGCGATCAGGTGTTTTAGTGATACATTTCGACTGGACGGTATCAGAGGATTGTATGCAGGTTTCGAACGTTTCGTTAAATTTCATCTGACTCATTAATTTCTATCAGTGTTTATCAGTCTTTTGTGAAAGTGTTTTTCCTTCAAAACTTTACTTTCCGTAAACCGAGAACGGAAGTAGATCAACGAACAAGACAATAGCACATTTTGGTACTTTTTTGCAAGAGTGTATAATTGTATAAAGTGCACGTTTTTTTTGTTTTTTCGTCAGTCACGAATTGAGTGCCGTTTCAGGTACAGCACCTGCTGTAGTGGCAAATGTTGCTGAAAACGCTGTACTGTTCACTGCTTACGGTTACTGTCAAAAGGTGTTCATTCATATTCTATTAATTTTGACATGCACAGTCTTGTTCGCACTGTCTAAGTCAACAGCAATTAACCTAAGAACACATGATACTTATACAATCATGTTTTTTCTGATAGACATGCGGCCGAGTAATTGAGATATTTGCAAGTGAGTGTTGCATTGATTGTATTGAAGTCAATTTTACTCGACCTTTTAGTTGTATACGAAAGATTAATCGCTGTTGAAACTTCTTCAGCAAATTGAAATTTATTTATCGGGAGTGCTAATTCAAATGTAACATAAAATTATGTTTCCGAGAAGACTTGCTGAGAGCAAATTCTGTCAGTTTGGTGCGTTTAAGATGCACTCCTGGTTTCATCTATTCCGTAGTTATTATATTTCATCGTTTCAAAACGAGTAGCTGTACTGTGAATTTTTAATTGTGTCTATTAATGAAGTGATCAAGAACTCAAACTCTCGATAATCACAGCCTATGCTGCCAATACGATTCAGGTGGTTGCTTTAATAACTGGACGATCAGATGTGAAAGATATGAACCCAATTGAGAACGCATGCGCAGGATCGTTAGCGTCCATATTTGCAGCATTGGTATTATGTCCAACTGAATTAGTGAAATGTCGATTACAGTCGCAACGAGAGATGAATCCTAATATCAAAAGGTACTATCTCTCAGTTTACCTAGCTCTCAAATGGTTTCATTTAGGTTCTAAACTTATTTCTCGATTACTAAGCAGTCACAAACGAAAAAAAATTTTGGCGTAACTCAAACAACCCCATTGCATTGATCCGAATTTTCAAATATTGTAGAATTTACGGACGGGATATGCTAGTATTATATTNTCTATCGTACTCAAGGACTGCGTTCGTTTTTCATCGGAATGACCCCAACACTAGCTCGTGAAATACCTGGATATTCGATATTTTTCGGTGCCTACGAGGCATGTCGATACTTTTTAAGACCCCCTGGCAAAACAAAAGATGAAATTGGTCAGTTAATTTTCATATTCTGCGGCCAAAAGATTATATCACTGCGCGAAAATTTTCAAAAAAAATAACTTGATCAACTTCACCATGATCAATCGATGATTACCGAAATAAACATTAATGCCGCTCAAATAAGCTGAAATTATTTTGACAATTACAGAGAAAGAATATTTTTTGGTGAATGCCGTCATTCGATTCTTATCGCTTTTAGTTGTAACTTTAAGGAAGTCAGTTCTAGTTGAGTCAAGGTTAGAATATATGATTTGTTAGGGTGAAAAGGGACGAGATTAAGAGATGTTTTTGGGGAGATTGTGACGTTTGCAGTGAATCGTATCGTTCTGATGAAAGTTTATGTTCTTTTTTTTGTTCAATGTAATATTTGAGGTGTTTTGCGCACGGCGATTTCTGGAAGTATTGGAGGTATGGCGTTATGGGCGGCTGTATATCCAGCAGATGTTGTGAAATCTCGAATGCAAGTCACTGGTACGGGCCGATTTTCGAAGATGTTCTTCTCGATTCTTAAAACCGAAGGTTTGTTTAGTTGACTGATTGTTTGATTTGTCTAATTTGGTTCATTATTACTTCGAAATTTTTCATTTTTATCATTTAGAATGGCATGCGGGAAGTATCATTTAGAATTTGTAAATTTTGGATGAGTTTTAATGTGACTTTCTTGTTGTTAAAACTATATTCTTAAAAAATAAAATTGTCGGTTATCGGTAGAATAGTTATTGGGAATGTCTGTTTTAGAATTTTTGCTCGATTTGATTACGTTGAATGAACGTAATTTCTCAGTTACTATCTATCAGATATGCTATTTGAAGTGAATTGCTATTGTATGCAACTGGTAACGAACCTCTGAAATGAGATTTACTTTCCGTTCCCTAACAGAATTGACACCTTCCAGGAATAGGAGCACTGTACAAGGGATTGGCACCAACTCTCATCCGAACATGTATCGCAAGTGGTTGTTTGTTTGTGTCGTTCGAATATTCCAAAAAAACGCTCCATACAATATTCCCGTAGAGCATCTACTAACGCTAATCAAATGACTCTCCTTCACGAATAACTCGGGAAAGTGTTGTTTTGTCTAAATGTCTTTCATAATTTCACGGCAGCATTTGTACATTATTTTCAATTACGATTACTAAATATCTAGAAGTTGTAGAGGACAGTACATTGGATATGACAGAATTATCATTTATGCTCATGCTTCTTNAAAAAACATTAATTGCTGTTCTAGTTTACTGTTGTGCAAATGTCTAATTGAAACTCTAACAGTTTTTCCTGACATTTAACAGTTTTTGATTTCTTGTAATCTGTGTAAATCGTGTAATGTTTTAAGTGTTTTCCGTCACTTTTTTCCGGTAAATTATCATCCTTGAGAATGCTTTACAAAGAAATGACTCTAATTTAAACGATCTGTTTCGTGTTGTTGTTATGTTGGTGAGGTTGCTTTAATAAACTGTTATTCATTCTTATTTAGTGTCCGAGAGAAAATTTTCATTGTAAAATATGTTATTGTCAATGACAATACTGGAATGCTCAACTGAACAGAGTGAAAAGAAATCCTTATTTAAGATAAGAGTCAAATATGAAAGGTTGAAGATTGGATGGATTTCTGGTATTTTGGCTCCAAATTTCGCACATGTCCCTGTGGCTCGTCTCAATCACAGATACTGGTGAAGCAATTGTTTGGATGTCTTTTATACTACTGTAACCAAGTCGAGCACCTCACTCTCAAAACATAAAAATCTAAAT